ATATACAAACCCAGTATGTCTGAAATAAATGATTCAATTCGATTCGTATATTGGAAGCTGGTATTTGGTGTTCTTTACCCGAGTGGACGGGCCAGGCGGACATAGGACCAATAGGACGTTAGACTACCCATACCGGTCGAACGTCATTGGTTTGACCCAGTGCTAAGATTGTATCATGTGATAAAAATCCGGACGTAAAGCCACAACAACTTCATCTATGCTTAATGAATAGTAAGGAAGTAACAACATAATGTGTTGTAGATTTATACATTGTTAAATTTAATCTCACTAATATAATAAATCATTTATTTCAGTTTGGTTTTGAAATGCATGAAAACTGCCTGATATTTTGGAAAATTTCAATGTCAAGTGTCAATAATACCGTGATTGAATTTCAGGAGGATTAAAATATTTAAATTAATTGTGCTTTGAGTAATGAATAATGCTGTATAGGAATTTACATCTAAATTTGATCGAATAGTTGTATAGTATTTGAGCACCAAGTTGATGTGAGACATAAAGGAAGAAGAATGTATTTGTAAAATCTCAACGAATAAATATGAAGTAAATCCAACGTTTAGTCTGGCAATCTGGTCCAAGCTTTTTCAAGCAAATAGGTAATCAAACATCAAAATAACAGAATATAAATAAGTATGTAGTTCCATGGTTAACCGTATACTAAGTAGGTCATTTAATCAATGTTAACAATGTTTAGGGTAGGTATTTGCTTTAGCGTGTAAGAGACATTTAGTGTGAAACGAAAAGTGTTAAGATACCGAGATGTGCGTATTTTTAAGTGGTATGAGAAGAAAGTTAGGTGAGACCATAATTTATAAACGACCTTTGAACGACGCTAAAGTTACCAGAATGTTCACCTGTGGTGTGTGCTACTAATGTCGACAGATATAAGGAGTATGTATCATCAATCGAAGGTGCCTAGCGGTAGAAGGTTAAGGAGATCGAAGGGAAAAGACCGAGAGCAGAGAGTGATTGGCGAGGGACCGAAGGAACAGTCAAGTCTGAGACAACTGATTGACATTTACTGTATGGTTCTCAGATTTTACTAAAAGATCTTGTAATTTTGTGTTCATATACATTTAGTTGTCCGTACAGAAGTTCTCGTTCACTACACACTTACTGACTAGGAATAAATGATGGTTGTAAATCAGTGTGAGGAATTAGAATTATGGTTTACAGTTGATGGTTAGGCTCAGGAATTAGATTGAGGGTTTTCATCACTAAATAACACCAGCTAAAATGTCAAAACGCTATTTTATTCAGACAGATGAATGAACTTCGCGACAAAATTTAAGATCTGTTGTCTTAAACCTGATTAGTTTGCCCATAAATTATAATCCCATTGACTATATATTGCATTTGATCGGTGAAACCATACAAGTCTTATATATGATATAAATCAAATATGTCACAGAACGCAAAAAGTGAAGATAAATAAACAACAATTACAACTGTTCTGATCAGTTTTCCTATCTGAATATGTTAAACAATTAACTGGAACAACAAAATAACACAAACATTCGTTTCTTTATTTTTATTTTGTGAATGAAATTTATTCACACACCAACTACAAATAGACACAATCTGTTATCTTAACACATTCCGTTTTCACGTCGCATGTCTCTTACACGCTAAAGCAAATTCGTACTTTAAACAGTGTTAACATTGAATTCACTTGTATCTTCCCATTGTTGTTTAAGACTGCAATTGATCAGTCGCTTTTTGGCATATGTGGATCCTGTGTAGACTGCCGTGATATTACCTTAAGTCACAAGCTTCGTAAGAAAAGATGAATAGTGGCTGGCAATGAAATCTAGGAGGCGCGTTTCGACTTATTTGGGACGCGTCAGCTGGATGTAACTGCATTCCAGAGTTGGTGTTCACTCTGTGATTCGAACCCAGTGCCGTTCGCTTCAAACATTGATTGGATGACCTATTCAGTATACTGTCAACTAGAGAACCATGGACTTATTTATATTCGATAATTTTGATATTTGATTACATATTTGCTTGAAAAAGCTTGAACCAAATTACCAAACTAAACGTTGGATTTACTTCATATTTATTTGTTGACATTTTACAAATACATTTTTTCTTCTTAGTGAGCAATGGTATTTAGTCATTGTATTACATTCAAGCAAATATCAAGAAATGAGCGTGCTTGATTAAAGTTGTGAAGTATATGATGTAAACTTTCGATGTTTATGATGAGGAATTTGTTTTAAATTCTTTTACTGTTATGAGAAACACTCCATTTACATTGAGAATTTTTAGAAACACCTTCCACTTTTGTTAATTATTTTAGCATCACCCAAAATTTTCTCAGAAATTTAGTTTTATTGTTAAAATCGATTTTATTCACTTCAACGAAACACCTAATTAAGAAGCTTTTATGAGTATTGATGATTTATGAAGTTGAATTTAGAAAACGATTTTCGATATGATTGTAACCAATTTTTGGGCATTTTATCTTAGCTTGTACCTAAAATGCGTTAAATTCATTCTATTTTGATAAGAGCAAATATCAGTGAAGTTAGCATTTACAGTTGATCTTTGTATGTATCAAAATTAATGTATAATTACTCATAAATATAGCATTCAAGTTCATGTTTTATGGGACTAAATTTTACAACTGTAGAAGTAGAAGTTTGATTTCTGAAATATAGTAATACTTTCCCAGTACGGGGTAAGTTATGTATACTCCTGGATATGTCAAAACAGTTGGCGGTTACTATATCTTGATCGTTGATACAATATTTGTTTTTGGTACTATCTGCCAAAAATACCGAAAACGTGAAGAGACATGGATTTCTTCAAAAGTATAGATGGGTACCGATGATTAATGAAGAGGTAGCTTTTGATACACAAAATTGAGAATATTCATCATTCAGAAAGAATCTGACTAATTATGGCTAATAACCATTTTACAAAAAATATTGATGGCTCAGTGTTTACTTTATTGGTCCTTTCATAGGATAGATTTTATCATCTAAAATTCTATGAATATAGAAATTCCTTTATCGCTTTTGTAGTTCACCTAATGATAGTTATTAAAGTACCCAAATCATTAGAAATATTCGGAGACACCATCTATAGGATATTCTGATTATGAATCTTGTCTCAGTTATGTTATGCCCCGATAAGAATAATGAGTGGTAGTTTTTGGGATCCATTTGTGGACTAATACTATACGTATATTTTACCGTATAATTGTTAATTAACTAAACTGTTCTTATCGAGTAAATGTTAAATATTTCTATGGCAGTCGACTGACTAATTGTTTAAAAATACTTCCATGGTAATATCGATTATATACATATAATTGATATATATACGTTTGAATTGTGTTTGTGGGTCGCTGTGTGACCGCTCGTTTCTGGCTGTTTGCAGAATATGCTTCCCGTTCCAAGCTTGGACTTCTCCCACTAGTTAGCGGGGCTGGTACGCATCAATATCTAGCTTACTGGTCTTTGGTCACTGAGTCTTTGTTCTCGTTTGCAGATTAAGTTAACTCGTGATAGCTTCAACTCTAGCAAATTTGGCGACGTGGTAAAAAAGAAATACAATCCAAAGTCAGCCTGTAATTGGACAAAATTCAGTCTAATTATTTTGAGCAATCAGCATCCAGATTTGTCATTAGTGTCCTTGAACGACATTGGTCATTATTCATACAGTAATTTTCATTACCGGTGCTGCATCAAAAAAGGAAAAATGACTCTCGCTTCCAATCGATTACAGCTGCTATTTGAGCAACAGTTGGAATTCTTAGTCAAATTACGCACGCAATTGCCGAATCACTCATGCTTTGGAGATGCGACGGAAGTGGATGGATTGGTTTTTCAATTGCACACTGAGCTGGAAAATGATTGTAGCCTCCATGAATCCTCGACAAACCTTATTTCAAACGATACAGCAGTCACTCAGGATCCGCCCAGTGGTCCAGTACTCTCCATCTCAGAAACATGCCCAGTAATTGATTCAAACTTCATTATCCCCGAAACAGCATGTGCAGACAGTGACTTATCCAGCTCACAAACAGACGCCCTGTTGAATGATCATAGAATTGTCGCGGTAACCGCCCATGAAACAGAAAACAAATAGAGCAGTACACTGAATGCAGCTGCTCCAAATGGATCTCAAAAGTCTGCGACAGAAGTTCCTGACGAATCTTATTATTCAAAATATAAAATCACTGGTTAGTTATACAAAAAATGATCAAGCTTTATATGGATCAAAAACTAATTGAAATACACATTACAGAATATCAAATGTTATCTAGAACTATGATTGCAGAAGTAAAGTTTGACATTTTATAATTTCCTTTATTGATAGCTTGTGATTTTCATGCAAAAATCACATCTAATAATCACGAAATGAATGCCACATAAGTATATGCTGTGAAACATAAAATTATTTTTGATGAGCTTCTAAACATATAAACATACTTTTGAAGACTGTCATATGAAAACCTATTGATATTGTCCATGGCCGATACCACCTAGAGAACATTTAATTTGAGAACAATGCTCTCTATTAATGAAGACTGGATGCAAAATAGCCATGATGATACATATTTATATATATACTCATTTATGGATTTACAATCCCTATAGCCGTTTCTTAGTCAAAGGTCAAGCTTTTCGCTTACTGCTAAGATTTATAGATGAAAATAAGGGTACACACTTACTTGCATTGCGAACTAATTTATCAACTTGAAGAGTAATTAGTTCAAGCAAATTCATAAAACTATTAATGACATTTTTTAAATCAATAATTTACCGAGCTACTAGAGTAAGTCTTCTTCAGAAACTTCGTTCGCATCTTTAAACTGTCATTATTATATAACGAATATCAATGGATTCTTATTTCCAAAAGGTACTTAATAAGAAATTTCATCTTGTAATATATATATGTTTTACATCATTTTTCCTTATTTATTTACATATCACTTTCTTAAAAAAATACTCTTTATTTGTTTAAAGGTAATGCACGTGACTCGCAAGATGTTGATCTGATTAGACAATTAAATGTAACACATATAATTAATGTGACAGATTCATTGCCTATGCCATTCAGAAAATTAAATCGGATACAATATTTACATATACCTGCTTCAGATACGACAAAACAAAATTTACTCCCATCTTTCGATCGAGCTGTACAATTTATAGGTATATTTTATTTTATTTTTTATATAAATATCTGATTGACTTAAAGAAATTTGCTATAGTAGAGATGATATATATATATATATATATATATATATATATATATATATATATATATATATATATATATATATATATATATATATATATATATTTCGCAAAATTTCATATATCAGTATAGGGTTGTGGAGATTGTTGAGTTTTGGCTAAGATCATGAATGGATCAGTGTTAGACCACCACTAAAAACCTGGAAACACTGAACAACCGTTTGGTGATCTCCGTCAAAACTCAACAACTTCCATGATACTGAATTGGTAATTATCATGTGCTCACTAGTGACTGGCTTTAAGATGGATTTTCTGGAGTTCTAGTGAGAAGCGGTGACCTGTGGAGTTCAGCCATTTCCAGTGTGGGGCAGTTACTCACTGAAGACAGTGGAGGACGGTCGTGCAATATCGTGAACGGATTGAATTTAGACATTAATACCGGTGAATGCTGGCTCAATGGTCTAGAAGTGCAGTATTCGCGCACGAGACCAAAGGTTCTAGGTTAGTGTCCTGCGTGTGGGATCACAAATGTGCACTGCTGAGGAGTTCCATACTAAGACTAAATAACCATCCAGCGCTTTCAGGTCTTCAATGGTGGTCTGACATTGATCAGTTCATGATCTCAGTCAAAATTTCATACACGTTATTGATAGTTGCTCGAATTTGTAGCATCGGGTTGTTGGTTTCAGTTGGTTTCAATACAAAAAGGATAGTGTTAATTTGAAACTAGTAAGAGAAATAGCTTGTGCTTGAATCGCTGCAAGAATTCTATTTCTTGAATTGACAACTGTTTCAGTTATTGTTCACTTTGCTTTTATTTTAACCGTATTATGAATACTTCAATGTTTGGTTTCGTTAATTCATAGTAATCAAAAATCCACAGCTAATTGGGAGATTTATTATAATACAAATCATGGATAGATATAGTGATTCCAAGTAATATGTAGGTATTTAATACATCCTTTCCACTTCTCTAATAGAAATTATCACTTGATGTGTATTGTACTTGATAAAATCAAGGGACAGAAAGATGATTCATTTCGGTCACATTTGATAATGACAATGCAGGAAAAGTATACTTCGACTCACGTTTAATTTGTGAAGTAATAACTTCTAAATTTATTATTAGTTGTACAAAGGTAACAGAAATAAAAATACAGGTAATTTTAATTTTTGCTACCACGTATTTCAAGAAAAATTTATGAAATTTTTCTTCTGTTTAGTAACAAAAGGGTAAATTTTAATAATCGACCGATAACTCAGTTTATTGTATCATTAAGGTTAAAATGAAGCGGTAACGTAACGAGAGTGTATGACCTTTTTTTATATCAAAAGAATGATAGATTGGTAATGCAATGAGGAGACGACGTTTATCAGATCTATGTGATATATGGACGCGATACATTTCGAACATTTTGACCACACATTAAGTTGTTAGGACATATATGATAAACAAAAGTCAAACTAGAAAAATAGGAACAACACAAAGTTTAACAAAAGGTTTATTCAACTGAATGATTTGTATCTGTATAAAAAGTACTGGTAAAGACAAGGTGAGGCTGCTAAAAGAAGCACTGATGCACAATTCGTAAACCAATGGCAAAGTCAAAATTTTCTTACGTTTATTACAGTTCTTGGGACCTAACGAACATGTTATTAACACCTTGCCAATCAGAGGTGAGCCATGTAAGATGAATGCTTGGAACACTTATCAATAGGAAGAGCTGACTAGTCGAGGTCATTATCAAAAAATTGGTGTTCATGCTCCACTAAAGTCTTAATTAACATGTAAACATTAGTGTCGTATCACAGAGTGTTTATAAATGCAAATATGTATGTCCACTTGTACGTAGAGAGGGGTAACTGGGTTTACAAGTTTGGATTACTCAAAGAGTACCAAAATGGCTGCACAAGCAACCGTATAAGGTGACTTAATAAGCTCAGAAAACAAACATCTCTATTCGTCTATTCCTTAAAGCGCATCAAAATCAGGTCTTAATATTGAACTTAAATAATCTTTTGTGGTTGGGTACAAACTTGTCTAGGGCACATAATTAAATTTGTTGAGCACTTAGTCAAACAAAGTAAAACCTCACCCCCCTATATGTTCGAATGTAATATGTATTTACAATAAACTTTCTCTGGTGACATTGATTTAATATCCAGTGCATTGTGATCCATATCATTTTTCCTCATTATCACTATTTGGCTTAGGTTCCAATCCACCTAGTTTGACATTTATTTCTCATGTATCAACGTGTGGTCAGATTACCTTTTTTATTAATGTATCACACTGATCTGATATATTTCATTTCTTCATTGCCTAAGTATATCAAAAAGACTTTTCATTTTACCTAACAAATAGATTAAATCAACCATATTCTGAGACTGATCAGACTTCAAAACCAAAGGATTGTAGAAATATATTCAAAAAAGGTGAATAATTTGCGAACCCTATACAAATCTTTAGCTTGGGACTTTAAACCCAACAGTTAAACTGTACACACAAGTAATTACTGGTAAAAGCCTAAAATCATCAACCCATTCCTGACTACTAAGTAAAATAACTAAGTGAAACAAAGATGAGAATTTATCTATAATCTAATTTCTACACATTCTGTAGAAGAAAGGATTCATATTAGATAAATAGAGATTAAATCTTACTTGTTATTTTCGGAAAAAACTCTCTGTTAACAGCAATATACATTTCTGCAAATTCTTTCTCTTACAGTTGAAAATTAACACGTTCTAAGGAGAAAATTCTCTTTTAAAAAATTGACATGCAATAAAGTTTGAATATGTTGTGAATTTAAGTCCGGCTAGCTATCACGTAATTTATTCGCCAGTCGAAATACGACTTATTCACTCTTGTATTGTATTAAATCAATGCCGTTCGACCGGTCTGATCAGCCTAGGGTCCTTATTGGTCCTTTGCTCCCCTAGCCCATCCAGTTGAGTCCAGAACACCAAATACCAGCTTTCAATATGCAAATCATTTATTTCAAAGGTACTTGGTTTATATACCAGCCAAATAGACCGCATCGTACCATAAAATAGGAAATAACATTTATACAAGATCAGGCCAAAAAGTGATTGTGAACGTGAAAAAACAGTAATTAATTAACTGAGCATAATTTAAGAACAATAAATCGTAAACAGTTATACACTAAGAATATATATATATATATATATATATATATATATATATATATATATAATATTAGTCCATTAATAGATCCCAAAGGTTACCTGTAATTTAATCTTCACTAGGATATAACAGAATATACTCTTAAAATTATGAGGTAAAACTTCAATAACTTAATATTAAGGTAAATAATTTGTTCGCTTTCACGAAGATAAAAAATTGATTTTGCGACTGTCATAACAATTCACTAAACTTAGTTACAATTTATTTGTTTAATGTAGTTAGAAAGTATCATATTATTTTTCTGTTCTTAGGAATGATAGATTATTTTCTTATTTTTCTATAATCTAATAATCATCTCATGATCTACTAAACCAGATCAACATTTTAGACATATGCCACATGCTTTTGATGTTCTTAATCAAATTAGAACACTTTAACAATAATCTAACCAGATATTATATAAAAGTGTCATCTAGAAACCATAGATTTCTTGAAAATGAATTTGCTGTGATATGTAAATAATATAGTAATCATTAGACAAGAACATTTTTCAACTCGTATCGGATTTGAATTAGCTTTGTGTTATAGCCCAAAGTCACCAATCAGAAGCAGCGAATTATCGATCGGACCAAGGACGCGTAAAACACGTGCGAGCAGCCTAGAGTCCTGATTGATCCTGCTTTCCGCCTAGCCCACCCAGCCAGTTAAGTCCAGAACACCAGTCTCAGCCTCTGCAATATGAATCGTTATATTTCAAACATACTGAGTTTATATACCAATCAAATAGACCACAACGTAGCTTAAAATAGGAAATAACATTTGTACAAAATTTGGCCGAATGTATCTGTGAATGTAGGAGGCAGTGACTAATGGACAGGGCATAACTCAAGAATGGTAAAACATGTAATAATGGTTCACAGATCAAAATAAAGTTTATAATAAGAGGAATATAAATAGTTTAGTTATTTAACAATTATACGATAAAAATATGCGTATAGTATTGGTCCATAAAAGGATCCCAATGCTACCATTCATCATGTTTATCGGGACCTAACACTTTGACTAATTGAAAATTGAACAGACAAACTTCTCCAGAGAAAATCGCTAGAAGATCAAACAGTAACGTAATTCATTAGAAATGAAAATTCACATAAATTTACATGATCATTTTAGACATTTTTGTTCATAGAAACACACAAATAACGCATAATGTCAGATTCAATCTCAATAACAAACATGAATTAGAAATAACAATGAAAAAAATATAATTTTTACTAAATACTTACTATAATATGTCTAGTTATAATTCATAAAAAGTTACATATTGCTCATAAAAGATTTTGCGAGATCATAATCAAACTAATTTAATAACTTAATAATCCCTTAAGCAACTATGTTATCCTCTAGTTATAAATTATGAACTGCTGCCGATTTATTCAATAAACGTTTCACCGATGAAACAAGTGCTGGAATCTCAGCCAATATTTTATCGAATACACAGAATAGTTGCGAAAAGAACATTAGACGTTGTTGCTGTCTTAAATTGTGCATATTATTTGAATAAACAGTATAAAGACTATATGTCATGACTCAGATAAACAAGTTGTCCATTTCTTTCACATAGATAACTTTTCTTAGTCACTTTTAAGCAACGTTAGACTAAAAATGCCTTGTTTGGTATGAACGTATTTCTTATATAATAATTGAATTCATGAGTCAATTGGAGCTAGACCACCATGGAAAACTTGGAAGCACTGGGCGACCATTTCATCTTAGAATGAGACTCTTCAGTAGTGCAACTCCATTATCCCGCCCCAAGAGATCCGAACCAAGGACCTATCAGTCTCACACGCAAATGCTTGACCTTTAGAACACTGAGTCGGCATCCAATTATACTACATACATATATAAAAATATGAAACAGAGGTGATTATGTATGAAAGTGTTCTAGTTTATCTTTTAGAGTTCTGAAAGATAGACAACATTTATTTATGAAACTTTTAACAAATATTCTAGATGATATTTTACAGCACTTTTATTTCATCTTTATTTTACTATCTAAATCTAAATAATTAGCCAATATTTTGTACAGCATTTCAGGATTAAAATATTCGTCCTAATTGTTGTTGCTCAACTGTTAAATAATTTACTATTCAAGTAATTTTTGAATGCAGTGGCTGTGAAATTGAATCGTTAGATAATTATTGAGTATTGGCTTTATTAAAATGTAACATGAAATTTGTATAATTTAATTCTTGTATTATATGAATACTATTAAAATGTAAAAAAGAAAACTTCGTGGATTGGTTGAAGTTAGACATTAACATCATTGGAAGTCGGCTCAGTGGCCTAGTTGGTTAAGCGCCTGGTGCGAGACTGGTAGGTCCTGGGTTCGAATCTCGCGAGGTGCGGGATCATGGATGCGCACTGCTGATGAGTCCCACACTAGGACGAAACGGACATCCAGTGCTTCCAGGTTTTCCATGGTGGTCTAGCTTCAATTGATTCATAATTTCAATCTGTGAAAAAGAAAACTATTGAATTTCAATGTTGTGTAATCGGTAAAATATCACAGTTATCAAACATCAGCTGAATATAATTCAATATTGTAAAAATTTTAAATAATCTCAGGAAAGATAGTTTACAAGTCTAAAGTTTTCAAAATATACATAACTACAACCTAACTTCTTCGTATCCTTTTAAACTTGATAAGTTCGAGCATTGTGCTTTCGTTTAATCAAGTAACTACATAAACATATTTGAATAAACATGAATTGAAATGTGCTGTTAAATCATCACATTACACTAACAAGTAAACAATATTTTGAATCAAGTATGACATTCACAATATATTGTGAGTAATTATGATCTATAACAATTTATTTATATATTATTTATGCTTTTGGAGTTCATTATCAGTACACTTTGATAAAATTTTGATAGTAGTGTAGTATAAATTATAATTAAAAATAAATGCTTCATTTCAAACTCTCGTCATTGCAACTATAAAACGAGATTTTTCTTTTATAGTATCTAACATATTCATATAGTTTACAAATTTCCACATTATTCTTTTAAATTAATCTTACAGAAAAAGCAAGAAAGCATAATGGCATCGTTTTAGTTCATTGTTTAGCTGGTGTTTCTCGATCAGTTGCAGTTGTCATTGCTTATTTATTATACAATAATCGTGGATTAAATGTTTATAAAGCATTAGAATTTGTACAAGCACGTCGTTCTGTAGCTGGACCAAATTTACATTTTATGGGACAACTTCAAGCTTATTATCATGATTTACATAGTCGTAAATCAAATATTTTCACTGATAAATTCAATATGAAATCTAAAGATAAATTAACAAAACGTAATAGTGCAGAAAATTTAACTGGTAAATTAAAAAGAAACAATCTACCTCGTAGTGTAAGTTTATCATCTAACTGGATTCAATCACAATCACGTTCTTCTTCTGTATTATGTAAAGTTTCTAGTTCAAGTAATGCTACTACACCAGGATATGTTACTTCAACATTATCCATATATGATTTGGGTAATATTAAAATTAATAGTAAAAGATCTATGAATTCAACATGGTCTGTAAGTACAACATGTACAAGTCGTAAACGTTCACTTGTTCGTAAATGTTCACATGAATCAGATAAAACATCAGTGATACCAATTAAAACTCAAAAGTAAATATATAATATATATATTTCTAAAATTGATTATGTAATATAGACAAACAATATTTTGGGCATAAAATTGAATTATATTTATTTTAACTAACTTTGCTAATAATCTTTAAAAACACATACAGATTTTCTTGTTGAATTATACTAAATAACATTTATCTTTTTAATTGTATGAATACATATGTAATAAGATTTAAACCATCTTTTTTCTTCTTGCTATCTGTTATGTTCAATTTCACCATCATCATCATCATCATCATCATCATCATCATCATCATTATCATTATCATCGTTAGTCTGTTTGTTCGTTTTTTGTTGTTGTTGCATCAAACTCTATAAGCGTTAATGTGATTTTATGATTCTAATTTTGTTTGTTTTTTCTGTATTCACAAATGTAATACAATAAATTCTTGAATCATTCTATGGATACCGTTTGTTTGTTTCTTTCTTCATGTATTAAATATTCTATGGGAAAATTTTTTACATTTCTATTGTACAAATCTACTTGAGAAAGTTTTCTTTTAAATTTCTTTTTTTTCACTTTATTCAATGTTCAATAATTCTTATTACATGTTTAAACGTTACAAGTTATATTTGTTTAACAGTATTCATTTTGTAAAAGATTTTTTTTATTTATTTTCAAAAGATCTTTTTTTAGAAAAGTGTAACAATAATAACGGAAAAATAAATGATGAAACTGATGAAAATAGTGTTTCGTTATTTTCTTTATATTAAATAAATGTATAAATTCATTTGGTGTTATTTTATTTGTATCATTCCATTGTTATTTAGGATTGCAAATTGATCAATATCATGTTGGTATATGTACATCCTATGCGGATTACCTCGATATAGCCTTAAGTCATAAGTGTTTTAAGCAAAGATAGATAGTGGCTAACAGTGGAATTCAGGAAGCACATTTCTTCTTATTTCGGATGTACCTGAATGAGTCCCAGAGTGAACAACAATTCTGCGATGCAGATAAATCCAGCTGACAAGGCTTAAATAGGATGACACTCACCTCCTGGTTTCCACTGATAGCTACTATCTATCTTTGCTTAAATAAATGTATATTTTTTTAAAGGTTACAGGTACAATATGAATGAGTTTTATTCTTTTATAACATAAAAATACTATGAGACGACTTTATTTTAAAATAAACAAGTTAAAAAAAGACATCAGATAAAATACAACTTCCTATTGACGTTATAAAATTAAAATCTTGATAGTAGTTGAGTGTATTAATAAATTAGAACATTAAATAATTATGCATACGATCTTTTAATGTGAAAACTGTTTTGTTTTGAAACAAATTAAGTGGTTAAAAACATGAAGTTCAATGAATGGATCTCTTCTCAACGAATTTATATTACCAAGCTGTACAATTGTATATATATATATATATATATATATATATATATATATATATATATATATATATATATATATATATATATATATATATAAATTTTCTTTTGTTAAATTACTAGTTCTGTGAGAAAATGTGAACACGAATAGCCAAGATGATGTAATAGGAAGATAAGAATACCAGATTGACTTCATAAATTAATAACGAATTATAACGTGAATATAGTAAGATGATTAAAATGTTTTTACTACAATAATTAAAGGATCCGCAGTTTGATTTTAAGGTTGTATATACTATTCGTTCAAATGTACCTAGATTTCTTCGTATCCAGCTCCCAAAAATAACCGGGGCTCTTACCATCTACGAGCTCAAGTCAGATCTATGCGTACAAAAGAAGTAAGTCCTATTGTTATGTTACCCTGGCCTTAATTATTATTTCACAGATTGAAATCATGAGTCAGTTGAAGCTAGACCACCATTGAAAACCTGGAAGCACTGGACGGCCGTCTCGTCCTAGTATGGGACTCTTCAGCAGTGCGCATCCACGATCCCGCACCACGCGGGGCTCGAACCCAGGACCTACTGGCTTCGCGCGCGATCACTTAACCACTAGACCACTGAGCCGGCATCCAACGGTGTTAATGTCTAACTTCAACCAATCCACGAAGTTGCGCCACCGTACACCATTGTCTTCAGTGAGTTCCTATTTCACAACAGACCTGGTTGAACTCCACTGGTATCGGCTTCTCACTAGAACTTCGGGAGTTTTTCCTGAAGTCAGTCACTAGTGAGCAGTTGATTATTATCAGAATGGGTTTTGTGGAGATTTTAGAAATTTCACAGATTGAAATCATGAGCCAGTTGAAGCCGTTAACAGTGGAGTTCAACCAGGTCTGTTGTGAGATAGGAACTCACTGAAGACAATGGTGTACGGTGGCGCAACTTCGTGGATTGGTTGAAGTTAGACATTAACACCGTTGGATGCCGGCTCAGTGGTCTAGTGGTTAAGTGCTCGCGCGCGAAGCCAGTAGGTCCTGGGTTCGAGCCCCGCGTGGTGCGGGATCGTGGATGCACACTGCTGAAGAGTCCCATACTAGGACGAGACGGCCGTCCAGTGCTTCCAGGTTTTCAATGGTGGTCTAGCTTCAACTGACTCATGATTTCAATCTGTGAAATTTCTAAAATCTCCACAAAACCCATTCTGATATTAATTATTGCTGCATTCCCCATTTACTTATGTCTCATATTCATCATATCATATTTTACTCATCATCTCACTATTTATTTTTTACACCTCTATGACCTTTAATGACCTCTAGTTATTGTAGTAAAAACATTTTAGTCATCTTACTACATTCACGTTATAATTCGTTACTAATTTACGAAGTCTATTGTTATTATTCATATTACGTAATCTCGTATCATAATCCTTCTATTACATCATCTTGACTATTCGTGTTCACACTTCCTCACAGAACTAGTAATTTAACAAAAGAAAATTTATATATATATATATATATATATATATATATATATATATATATATATATATATATATACAATTGTACAGCTTGGTAATATAAATTCGTTGAAAAGAGATACTTTCATTGAACTTCATGTTTCTAATTATCTGTAAATTAAATTATGTACAATATTGTTGTTTTGCCATAGAAATGATAAATTAGTAATATTGTAATGAGTAGAAACAAGTTAACTTTTCAAAGAATAAATACCTTTTTTACATGTTCTCAATTATTTTGATAGTATAGTGAGAATATTTGATTTAATTAATCAGTGAATAACCATGGAATTAACTTAGGAATCTTATAAAACTTAAAATTAGTGATAGCTTTGGTTGTTACATTCTATCATTATCATATATCACTGTTAAAACTATACAAATAAATCAGTGGATTTGAGATTAAGCGTTAGCGCATGAAACCGGAGGTCCTCGAATTGAATCCTGCATGCAAAATTATGGTTGTGGACTGTTGCGTAGTCCTATACCAGGACGAAACAGTCGTCCAGTGTTTCACGGTTTTCAGTCGTGGTCTAGCTTAGATCAACTAGTGAATTCAACTGTTTAAATACTACAATCTCCACTGGTCTCCATACTAAAGTCAAAATGACTTTGTATATGATCAGAAAACATATGTAAATGTGACAGTTAAATATCACATTGTGTTCTGTTGTACACAATCAAAAAGATAATCTTAAGAATTCAACTATTTTGAATGATTTATTCAAATTGTAATATGCAACTAAATTAAAAGTTGACAAACGATCATGTGAAGAGTAAACCATTTGATCGTATTATTATTATTTTCATGTTAAACGATCACACACATATATGCTTTATTGTGTTGGCTGTGTTTAGTCATTTTTTTCGTAAATATGAAAGTAGTACGTTTTCGTCTAAATTGTTATTGTTCTTATTACTATTCTGATTTGGAGATAAACAACTTGTACGTGATCGAGAGATGTAATGGATTCATTTCTGTTTATTATATTCAACTATGATTGTAATGTATGTTTTAGTAATGACAGTCACATAAATACATATAACAACGTAATGTGAAGAGAAAATTCGGTGAGACCATAATTTATGGACGCCCTATGAGTGATGCTTAAGTGATCTCGAGAATGTCGACTAACTTACCAAGGTTAAGTGAAGGTTATAAATCAGTGTGAGGAATTAGGATTAGAATTTACAGCTGAACCTTAGAGCTAGGAACTGTCTACATCATAAAATTACATCAGCTTTAATGCCAAAATGCTATTTAGCCATAAGGATTAATTAGTTTCACACCGAAATCCGACCTAGTATCTTAAACCCGACTGGTTCGTCCATTAACTATAGTCACGCTGAAAATTCAATAGAACTGATTAATCATTATTGTGATAGTTGTGCATATTTAACAACCCAATCTCATAATAAATTACCTTATTTAACAGATCTAAGATCATTTAAGGGACTTACTATTTCATCGATAAATAGACTCAATAACGTCATCAAAACAATAATAAACTATCAGTATAGGGTCCCAGTATGGGACTTCTCGGCAGTGCTCATGCACGACCCCGTTTCGCGTAATTCGGGCCCAGGATCTAGGGGTCTGGAGTCTAACGCTTAACCTCCAGACCATTGAGCCAGCATCCAAAGGTGTTAATGTCTAACTTCAATCAATTTCAGTGAGAAGCCGTGACCAGTAGAGTTCAACCAGGTCTGTTGTGAGATAGTAACTCACTGAAGACAATGGTGGATGGTTGCGCAATCTTGTGAATCGGTTGAAGTTAGACATTAATACCGTTGGATGTTGGTTCAGTGGTAGGGAGTTTAAGCGTTTGCACATGGGACAGAAGGTCCTGGGTCCGGGTTCCACGGGGTAGGATCGTGGATACGCACTGTTGAGGAGTCCCATACTAGGATGAAACGGCCGTCCAGTACTTCCAGGTTTTTTATGGTGATCTAGCTTTAACCGACTCATGAATTCAACTACTAAATAAATTAATTGTCTATTTTTATTGGTGAGAGGAACATAATTAGTTAATTGAATGATCCACAAACAATAATCAATATAATAACAGTAAAGTATTATTATTAATAAATAATTAACTTTTTTATAGTAAAAATA